AAGGTTGAGATGGAAGATCCACAAAGTCTAGACTATACCTAAGAGCCAGAGTTGTACGTTCTGTCCATGGGCAAGATCAAGTCAAGACTGGGAAATGGAACCAGGACGGGGCGTGACAACTTTGGCTGACTTGATCTGATTGGGCAGGAATACAGTCTCCACCCATTCTGTGGATCCTCCATCTCCAGTGCTGGAGAAATATTCGGTCTTTGCTAAACTGGCTCCTAGTAGGAAGGGATGTTCCCCTGCTATCACAACTGACACCTTGGACATTGAAAATAAAGCAAACTGTGCAATTTTTTTAAAAGAAAACTCTTCCTGAAAAAACAATAAGCATTGAATCAAAAGACAAACCCATATAGTATTTGTTAGTAATTTTGAATCCAACCTGATTCATTGTAGCTGCTGAAACAAGGCAACTGGATTATCTTTGATTTGCAGAAGCCGTATATCATCTATCTGGAAAAGAGAAATTACAAATAAAAAGTGTGAAAATGCTTTATAAGGGACATGTTTCACAAATTTTAGAAGAAAAGGAGATGGAACCTGTTAGTTAATGGTAGTGAATCAAACATCTCCAAGTCTACCTTCAGAATTGGGGACAGATTAAAGGCTTTTTTAATTTCTATCAATATAATAATAGTAAAGATTTTTTCCTTCCCCCCCCCCCCCCCCCCAATTCACTTTTCACTTTGTGTCACCAAAAATCAGTGATCAACTCTCACTAAAGTTTCAAGGGCCACATAAGAAAACCTTTAAAACAACAGCTGAGCAAATATACGCATTTCCCTAGTGCCAAAAACCCGGGAAACAGTTCAAAGTATACAAACAAAGAATAATTCAACATTTGCCTGACAGATCTTCTCTCAAACCCCCAACACTGGAGGTCTTTAAGAAAAGAATGGACGTTTGCCTGAAATGGTATCGGGTTTCCTGCGTGAGCAGGGGGTTGGACTAGAAGACTTCTAAGGTCCCTTCCAACTCTTGTTATTCTGTTAAATTCTGTTTCTCCCCACATTACTCTCTTCACCAAAGGTATCCTGGAAGCACCATTCAACTATCTAAAGCAGTGATAGCGAACCTTTTAGAAACTGAGTGCCCCAAAACCACCCCCGCCCCACTCTGCCCCATCCCGCCCACTTTGCCCCCATCCCCAGCCTGCTCTGCCCTGCCCCGCCTGCCCACAGGGCCACTCA